ATTTGCTACTTACTCCTGGGAGCTAAGTGCAAACAATATATGCAGAAAAGCATCCCATGCCCTCACTTATGGTCACGTACATTTATGAGGAAGGAAGACCTGCGAGTAGAGAATGAATGGTGGGCTCACATGCCGCAGAGGCGCTGGGCTTGCTGCTGACAATCCGAGTGCAGTGCGGGTCCCAGCCCCACCCTAAGCGTCAGGAACAGTTAACCAGCACAAGCCAGGCCTTTGTTCTACACCCCCAGACTGAAAACATCAAGCTAAGAAAACAGTTCAAAACTGCCTGATAAAATCATCCAAGAAGTATTTTTAAAAACCAGAATACCATGCCCCGGCCTGTGCTTCTCAGTGGTTACAGCGTCGGTCCTTGCACCGAAGAGTCTCGGGTTCGATTCCTGGTCCAGAGCATGAACCTGAGCTACAGGTTCATTACCTGGCACTGCTTGTAATGCATGGGGGAGGCAACCAATTAATGTGCCTCTCCCATACTGACATCTCTCTCTCGCCCCCTCCTCCATTCCACTCTATCTAAAAGCAATGGAGCCGAAATCGGTTTGGCTCAGTGGATAGAGCGTCAGCCTGCAGACTGAAGGGTCCCAGGTTCGATTCCAGTCAAGGGCATGTACCTTGGTTGCGGTCACATCCCTTATTGGGGGGGGGTGTGTGCAGGAGGCGGCTAATCGATGTTTCTAGCTTTCTATCCCTCTCCCTTCCTCTCTATAAAAAATCAATAAAATATATTTTTAAAAAAAATAAAAATAAAATGAAATAAATAAAAGCAATGGAAAACTATCCTTGGGTGAGTATTTAAAACAAACAAATGAACAAACAAACAAACAAGAAATGCAACCTGAATACCAAGCTCCTCCTCTGGAGGTGCTTCTGATACAGTGGGTCTGAGCTATGACAAAGCCTTCTGAAATTGTTCATTTTTTAACTGGTGACCTATTTGTTTTCATATTTAGTTGAGAAACATTAAGCAAGACAGACTCCGAGATCTAGTTTTAGTTCCGGCATCCTTCTGCACATAGAATAATGCACCAGGTAGGTGTTCAACACATGTAGCAGCATGGCTTGAGAGTAGTCTGAGCGGATATTAGAAGAATCAACAATTTGTCGATTAAGTACATGATTGTTTGGGTTATATCTAATCAGTGAAATAATGGGGGAAAAGTCCTCCAACTGTCAGCTGGCCGAAAGGACTTAATGTTTTGTTTTCAAGATATTCAAAGATTCCAAACTCTTGCAATTAAAAAAAAGTCTATATGGTGTGGAATTTTAGAAGAGAACTGTCTAGACACTTTTTTGTTTCAGTATTTCAGTGTTTCAACAGGGATTGTTTTTGTTGGTGGTGGTGGTGGTGCTTTTTGTTTTTTGGGGGTTTTTTTTGTTTGTTTGTTTGTTGTTGTTTTTTTGCTAAACAGCTATGCATAAAAATGGCCATGAAATATTAAGAAACGCTCTAGTAAGAAAAGATTTAGGAAAAGGAGACAATTTCAAAAACTAAATCAATCTTCCAGAAATGAATCCTGAGTTGCTTCCAATATCAATTTTAGGGTAAACACACGATTAGTTTCTGACTTGCTTCCTTTCACTCTAATGACCACTTTTTTTTTTTTTTTTTTTTTTTTTTTAACTTTTCTTTTTCTTAGTCCTAACTGGAATGGTCTAGGGTTTGGATTTTGGACACCACAAAATAATTTCAACTGACTATAACTTAAGGATTCACCTTAGGCCTTCACAAAAAGAAGCATTATCTTTTTTTTTTTCTCCCCTGCATTTCATTTTTCTGCTAGATTACATTTTATAAACTCCGTTGATAGGAAACTACTCAACTACAGGAATCCGGGATTGGTTTTACTTACAAGTAAATTCTCTGAATAAAACTTCCTTGAAAAAGAACTGGCAGTCAGCAATCAGGCTGGAAAGAATCTATTTCACAAAAAGGTCCACGCTGCTGGGCTGCAGAGGAGGAGGAGGAACAGGACTGAGGAACACAGAGGTCAGCCCATCTACCTGGAATGTCCACGTCCAGGGAGCAGGATCAGCACAGGGCAGCGGTCCTGAAGGGAGGTCAGCTCTGCCAATGCTGTCAGGGCCCTTGCACTTTAAATGACGCTCAGAATCAGGTTCAAAAGCATTTATGAGGACACACCCCAATGTTTTTTTCCTTCCAGGTTTAAACCATCGTATAGGAGGAAGTTTTGAATCGAAGTGTTTTTGCTTTGCCACCTGACAAGCCTGCATTCGCCCACACCTCTGTCCTGCTTCTGAACGTGGGCCTGACACGCAGGCAGAGGACACACAGCGCTGAGCAGCAGCTGGCGGTTCCGTGCTGCGATCTTAATGCATTCCGCAGAGAGCCAAAAGTTAAAACTCCCCAGCATACCTCGTGCTCATAAATGTTATACATTTCTTTCAATAGCAACTACAGCTTCTTGTCTGGTTACTATCACCACAGACAGTCCTCACACCAGCTCATTACACCAAGGGTCTGAAGAACAGAAAAGGGTTGCAGAGTGTCTTGAGGGAGCCTGTATTTACACTTCATCCATTAAGACATCCCAGTCTCAATGAAATACTCTGTTATTAGGGGGCCGGTGATAACAAGGTATAACATGAGCACCAGAGGAAGGAAGTTCACATTTTGAGATACTGGATTCTGAAGGAGCCTCCAAAACGCAGACATACATGTGCTTTCAGAGATCAGAGATACCCCTTGATTATCAAATGTCACAATAGGATCTAGCAGCTTGATGGGGCAGCACGGAAACAGGCTTCTGTCACGCATGCCTTGTCTGATTAAAACAAAACGAAGGCCTGGTTACAAAAAATGGGACTTCTAAAGCTAGGAACCAAATTGCTAAGAGATACCCATCCAAACAAAAAGGCTGGATCGTTTTTGAAAAGCCTAAATTATTATGTCCTCAGGATGTCATGTTCTTCTCAGAGGGAATTGTTCAGGTTTGACAGATCGTGTAGGCACAGGGAGTCCATGACACTGAGTCTGAGGATTCATTTGGACAAATGTTGTCAGACCCAAAGGTACCAGCTATGCGGTGGTTTTAGCTAAGTAAAAAAAGTAACATATTTACTTTTTCTATAATATAGTTTCAGGCCTCCAGATTCCTTATTCCATAGGACCTGAAGACAAATAATGTGACCAGGCCACATTCAGGACTCACTGAAGGACACGAAAAGGTAGGGGCAGAAATGTTTTCAAAGCATGTCTCTGCTATTGGGAGCTTCTCCCTTAGTGCACTCTGACTTCTAGAATGTTGTTTCACAGCAGCAGTGCCTGAAACTCCTGGCATGCCCAAATTCTGTAGGTTTTGCTGATGGAAGACTTAATTTTTGATTAATCCAAGAGTTAAGATAAATATTTTTAAGAACTTCTAGATATGGGCCACTTCAAGACACTAAGACCTACACGAAAGCCTCTTGCTTACAAAACAGCCAAAGTGGGAGTGACTGTTTATACTAATTACATTTTTACTTCATAGCAACTCACTTGGGAATTTGTTGAAACAGAATTTGGATTACAAATTTTGATTAGTGCGTTTCCCAGGAAACATCTAGTTCAAAGTTTGAAGTCACCTGTGTCTAGATTCGGGATATTCAGGGAAAGAAATTAAATGAGTGTACATGAAGTCAAAGCAAATGACCAACATCACCATCAAAGTACAGGCCAATAAATGAAGAAATCAAGAGACAGTTTTGTCATTAATATATTTCTGCATTATAGTTAACATATGTACTTTCTTCTTATCACCTTATTTTCCGTTATGTATTGATATTTTGTTATATTCAGACATGAGTACATTTCAACAGTCTTTTGCAATAAATATCATAAAATAATAGATTCGCATAATAAATATTCTTTACAATAAAAAAGTTTAACAGACTTTTGTCTTAAAAATAGTCAGAATTCAACTTTGTGATTTATACATAAAATATACAAAAAAGCACCACAATTTGTGGTGAAGGCAATGAAAACACAGAAGAGATTAGACTTGCTCAGCTGTTAACTAACCAAGGCAAAGGGACCGACCATTCAGGAGCCAAGATCACTTGAGGCAGCATACTTCTCTGACACCCGCAGATGGATTAGCTATAAATATCAACGTCAGGAGCCCAAGTGCCCTCAACGACAGGAGAGATGTGGTGAAAGGTGTGGGGTGCGGAAGGAAGGTAGCTGAGACCTTCCCAAATAAGAAAGCTAGAACGAAGATCAGCAAGTTGCAACCAAGTATATCTCCAATGTGAAGACTTACACTGTAGAGTGAACCTAACATTACATACAAAAAAAAAAACACACACACACACAAAAAAAAAAACCCAAACAAACAAAACCATGGCATGGCTACAATAAGACAATGCCAAAACTGAGGGGAGAGGACTCTCGAGGGGCAAGGAGGCAGTGGTTAAAGGAAAACCTTTATGTGATAACAAAAATATTTCCCCCGGGCTACGTAAGGGTCCAAAGGCCTAGGAAGATAGCACTAACTGGAGACAGACTGAATACATAGCTTATTTAAGCAAGTAAAGGGCTGCTTTTTTAAACACCAATTTCCCTGCTCCCGGAATAAGGCCATCAAAAACAGCTCTCCATCACTGTCCCCTAGGGGTGTGCGTGTGCATGTGGTGTGTGTGTGTGTGTGTGTGTGTGGTGATGGTGGTGGGGAGGGGTTGTTGTGTGGGCAATTTTGTAAAGTTGCTTGCAGAACAAAAAAGGCTACACAAAACCCCAGCCCGTGGCTCCCCAACACCCTCTTGAGGGGGGTGAGGGTGTGGCAGAGGCTCTTTGTCCTGAGGGGGACCCGGTCCGTTCTCACCGATTGTCCATGAGAGGGTACCATCCACAAGTCAAGCCTTGGGACCAGGAGGAGAGAAGGCAGGAAACGGGAAAAGTCGTCAAGAAAATAAAAATCAGTATCCAACAGCATCGTTTTCAACAGCCACAGCTCGAAAAGTCAGTTCAAACACGCCCTCCCAAGTCATGAGGGCTTGCCCTGAGCCCGGGAGGGGCAGCTCTCCAGCTTACAGTAGACGGTGTTGGAGTTCTTACACCTGCATCCCGGGCGGTGGGTCCAGTCGTAACAGCCCCTGCAGAGCTTCAGGCAGCCCTTGGCAGGGGGGTAACAGAGTAAGCAAGGCAGGAACAGAGACATGGCCCCCATGCACAGGTACCGGGAGCAGCAGTGCGACTGGGAGCAGGAGCACGGGCTGTCCGAGTACGAGTCGCCCTCGTCGTCGTTGGAGCAGTGGTAGAAGATGCCCTTGACCAGGCACATGCAGGTCCCGTACTCCACCATGCTCTCCGCGGAGCACAGGCACTGCCGGTCGCAGGCCAGGCAGGACGGCAGGGTCCGCGGGGCCGTGCACTCGCCGCACTTGCACTTGCCGCACCGCTCGCAGATGAACTTGTGCTGGGCCAGGTCCTCTTTCAGAGAGCCCTTCAAGTCGTCCACCACCGTCAGCTGCTTGGGCTGGGTCCGGATGGCCCTCTCGGACCGATGGGCAGGCACGGGCCTGGCGGGCGGCGACCTTCCCAGCAGCCCCTGCTCAGAAGAGGCGCTGCCGCCGCTCCCCGAGCTGGCCGCGCTCCCGGTGCTGGTGGACCGGCTCAGCACGGGGCCCCGGGCGTGGTGGTGGGAGAGCCCCGCGGGTCCCAGGTGGCCCGCAGGTCGATGCTCGTAGTTGTTATTCACATTAATTGGTATAATCTCGTGAGTCCTCTCGTGCTTGTCTTGTCTCGGGGCTGTTCGAGGAGCAGGTCTTCTCCCCACGGACGGCCCTTCCGTGTATTCGTTGCTGCCTCGGATGGCTTTGATCTGGTCCAGGGACAAGATAGCAGCAGGCGGGATCTCTCTGTCATAGTCGAGCCTCTGCCGGCTGTCCAGGGCGGGCGGCTGGGTCAGGACCAACGAACTGCCGCTGCCATGCTGGTTTGGGGGATCCATGTGTAGGGATCTTGAATGTTGGCAATCAGCGGGAACCTGGCATGCATCTGAAATCCTAAAAGGAAATCGAACATGAAAAAGACAGAGAAAATAAATGACAGGAAGTATTTCTTTTAGAAAAGTGGTGGGGGGTGAGGGGGGTGGGGGAGAAACCCTGTCAAGTCACAAATTGCCTAAAGCACCTGGTAATGATCACCTTCATCAGTGGATTACAGGGATGCTGGGGTCCTGGCCGGGGTCCAATCAGAGAGAGGCCGAGGCCCACATCATGGAGGAAGAATTCTGAGCAAGAGACCCCATGCCATAAAAATTAGGCTATTCCACTTGTAAAAAGCAGAATCAGGAAGCTATGCCTTCCTGTGGGTGAAACTAACAAGTAATGAAAATCTGCCCTTGTAGGGAACACTAAGCATAAGCACTGGAATAGGAAGCTCCATGTCCGTCCACCTCCATAAAGGAAAATATCCACTTTACAAAATGGCTTTGATGCTGCCTTTTTTTTTTTTTTTTTTTTTTTTTTTTTTTTCTTTTTTTGCTGTTTGTTTGCTGTTACAAGCATTTGACTCAGGATGAAGAAACTGGTCAAGGAATACCTCATCCGTTAAAAAAGAGAGATTCCAAACTAAAATGGAGTCTCAGAATAAGAAGTCATTTTCTGTAGCAACCAGGACTTTCAAGCTAGCTCCTTATTGATATACAAGATGCAAAATGAATACAGACGAATATAGCAGTTCTTGGTGTTTACAGCTACAAAAGTGTGTGTGTGTGTGTGTGTGTGTGTGTGTGTGTGTGAGCATGAGCACGCACACACCCTCCTCAATGTACAGTCTTCATGTTGAAGAGTATTCACATTTGAAATCATGAAAAGACTCACATAACAAGAGAACTTTTCGTGCACAAACAAATGTTAGGCCTTTAAAGCAGTACGGGGTGGGGGGGGAGGGGGAAATCCATTTCAATTATCTGTATTTCCTCTAATTTAAAAATCTGCATCTACATGACAGCCTGGTTTTCAAAAGCACTGCCAATTCCGAATTAACGTGCTGCTTGTAATAAAAACAAGTACGGCAATACCCTGATAAAAGTGAGCAGTTGTGCTTCCTTACAGGCAGTAAAAGACTGCTCATTTATAATGCATTCCTTATAAAACAAACGACCAAACATAAAAACGTTTCCCTTTTCAATTAGTGGCAAACTAGATTATTTTTCACACAAATTCCTCCCGAAGTCTCCAGATTCCACTCAATTCAAGAATGAAAAGAAAAAATGCCTTTTCTCTACTGGCACTTTGAGCCAAAAACATAAAATAAAAGTAAAAGACAAGATAAAAATACAACCACCACCAGCTTAAGGAATAAAGCAAATAGAAGTCCATTCCATCTAATAACTAGAGTGACTATCTTGCATGTTCATTTCTGGGGGCTCCTTCCCTCCTTCTCCCAAGATGCTGCCTGATTCCTCCTCCTCTGCATATGGGGACCCACGCGCTCACAACCTGCTGGGTTCCATCCCCGAGTCCTTCCAGACAGGGAACAACCAGCCCCTGCACATCCCCGTCCCCACAACTCCCTCACCCAGGGCTTGGAAAGGAAGGAGTGTGTCCGGGAACTAAGGACACACGATGGAGGAGGAGGACTGGAAGAGCAGAAAACCCCCGCGTGTTCACGGCCCGCGGCCCCGGGTCCCCGCAGGCTGGGAAAGCAGCAGAACGTGAGCGAGCCGCCCGGGCCTGAAGCCAGGCGCCTGGGCAGCAGGTCCCGTCCCCATCCTCCCATAACACACACACACACACACACACACACACACACACACAGGTCCCGACCCCATCCCCCCATAACTCTCTCTCACACACACACACACACACACACACACGTCCCCATCCACCCCATCACACACACACACACACACACACACACACACACAGGTCCCGTCCCCATCCACCCCCATAACACACACACACACACACACACACACACACACACAGAGGTCCTGTCCCCATCCACCCCAACACACACACACACACACACACACACACGTCCCGTCCCCATCCACCCCATCACACACACACACACACACACACACACACACACAGGTCCCGTCCCCATCCACCCCCATAACACACACACACACACACACACACAGGCCCCGTCCCCATCCACCCAACACACACACACACACACACACACACACACACACACAGGTCCCGTCCCCATCCACCCTGTCACACACACACACACACACACACACACACGTCCCGTCCCCATCCACCCCCATAACACACACACACACACACACACACACACACACACAGGTCCCGTCCCCATCCACCCTGTCACACACACACACACACACACACACACACACACACGTCCCGTCCCCATCCACCCCCATAACACACACACACACACACACACACACACACGTCCCGTCCCCATCCACCCCCATAACACACACACACACACACACACACACACACAGGTCCCGTCCCCATCCACCCTGTCACACACACACACACACACACACACACACACACACACACACGTCCCGTCCCCATCCACCCCCATAACACACACACACACACACACACACACACACACACACACAGGTCCTGTCCCCATCCACCCCCATAACACACACACACACACACACACGTCCCGTCCCCATCCACCCCCATAACACACACACACACACACACACACACACACACACACAGGTCCTGTCCCCATCCACCCCCATAACACACACACACACACACACACACACACACACAGGCCCCGTCCCCATCCACCCCATAACACACACACACACACACACACACACACACCCCACGCTCCCTGGCTCTGCGCAAGCGGCTCGCCTCGAACACGCGATCCCAGTCGGTACCTCCTCGGACAGCGCCTCACAGCCCGGGCCGCCGTGGTTCTCCCAAACCCGCCTGCGTCCCGCCGAGGCGGCGCGCCGAGCCCGCCCGGACCGCGGACCGAGCGCCGCGCGGCCGCACCTGGGCGCCCGGGGGCCTCCGGGGCCGGGGGAGGGGGGCGCGGGGCCGGGGGGAGGGAGGCGCGGGGCCGGCCGCACCGCAGCGCCGCCACAGCGCCCGGCCGGCGGGGAGCGCGCCCTCTGCGCTGCGGGCCCGGAGCGCTGAGTAAATAGTTGACGGGGAGGAAGGAAAGGGAAAAAGTTATGAATGAAAACAAGCTCTCTCCCCGCCGGCGGGCGGGGCGGGGGCGGAGGTGTCCGTGACTCGCAGGGCGGGCTGCCCTTTAAAGGGGCCGCGCGCCCCGCCGCGCCGCGCGCTGGCACCGCGCAGAGCGGGGGCTGGGGGCGCGGGGGCTCTGCCCGCGGGGGCCGCCAACCCGGGCTCCGCGCCCCGCACGCGCGCACAAACACGCACGCGCACACGCACGAGCGCGCTCCCGGCGCCGCCGGTGCCCCGTCGCACTCCGGGGACCCCGCCACCGAAAGCCCGGCGCCCGCACACACCAAAAAGCTCCAAGCCCTCAGGGGGGACCCCATCAGACTCCTCCAACCCTCCTCCTCTCACGCGGGGGGTTCCCCCCAAAGGACGCCCGGGCCTGGCGCCGCCGCCGCCGCTTCAGGAAACGGGACGGACGCCCCCGGCACCGGCCCGCACCTGCCGCCCGCACCCCCACACTCACCTCGGCCGCGGCGGGGGCGGGGGCCCGGGTCCCGGGGCGGGCGGCGGGCCGGCGCCGCATCAAGCGCGACGGGGCGGGCGAGGGGGCATGGCCCGCGGCCCCTTCCGGCCGCGGCGCTCACGGCCGCGGCGCTCACCGCGCGCCTGGGCCTCGCGGCTCAGCGGCATCCACCGCCGGGCTCTCCGCGGGCGGCGCGTCCAGGAGCCGGGGCGCAGTCCCCTGGGTCCGAGGCTCCGAATCCCGGGCAGAGGGCTCCCCGGCGCGGATCGCTCCGGCCGAGCTCCACGTCCGGACTGTGGCGTCCCCCGCGGCCCGGGCCGAGTCTCGAACCGGCGTCTGTCTGCGACGGGGCCGAGGAGCGCACGCCCGCGAGGCCGAGGCGGAGGCCGCCGCGCCGCTCCGCTCCGCTCCGGGGTGGGGCGGGCCTGGCTCCCGGCTCTTCGAGGGGGCGGCGAAGGGAGCGAGGTTGGGGGGCTCTCCTGGGGGAAGAGGCGGGGCGTCCTGCGGTCCGCGCCACGGGGCGCCGCGTCCCGGGCGCCGCGGTCTCTCCCGGCGGGTCAGCCTCCCGGGCCGGCGTCCACTCCCGGGCCTCCGAGCCTCCTGCGCGTCCGCCGAGCAGCCTGCGGCGGAGGGATGGGGAGAAAAATCACGTTAACGTCCCTCTTCCCGGGCGCCCGCTGCCATGTGCGGGCCGAGGCTGCGCCCCGTGATTGACAGGCCGGCGCGCGGTCGGCGTGTCAGCCGAGAACCGAAGTAACATGCGATTTTGCACGTTTTTTTGCCCAAGTGCTTCGGCCCCCTCGGAGTGCCCGAGAGTTCAAGCAGCGTTCAAGCGACGCCTCTGCGCACTGGAAAGCAATACGCAGAGACGGGAAATTCAGGTTTTAAACAATCGCTCCTCCGACAATGCCCGACCAAACACGCACCGGGTCCGCACGCCGAGCGCCAGCCCCTCTCCCTCCGCGCACACCGCCCCGCGGGCCACACCGGACGGCTTCGGACTTTAAACTGGTTACTTCTCGGATGGGGGAGGGAATCAAAGGGGCCCTGCGGGCTTTCTTTTCTCTCGTCGCCGCCCGCGATAGCATGTACTTTGAGAGCACTGGCTTTTAGCAGTGGGAAGGCTCCTGGAAATTCGAATTGCAACCACAAATAAAGCGAGTTCAAGGAAACATTCAGTTCCTTGCAAACGCCGACACCTCTCGCCTAATCTTTTCCTAAAACGCCTACCGAAGGAACGGAAGAAAACGGCTCTTACCTAACGCAAAGGTTGGAAACTGCTTTGCAGGCACGTTTCCCGCGGCCGTGGCTGCTCCTGATCGGCAGGGAGCTCTGTCCGCC